TTTCACCAACGTCAATTACTTAATCGACTGTGAAACTGATCAATCACATTTGCTGTTTAGTAGAACCATCTTTAAAAACCTACGTGATATTATCCTTATTTACTTAATCCTTATTTAATTCTAATGACATGTATCATTTGTATAAAAGATTTGATATCAATAGTCGGCGTCAAGTTAAATTCTAATCTTTAAAAACCTACGTGATATTATTCTTATTACTTACTTAAATCAATGACATGTATCATTTGTATAAAATATTTGATATCAACAGTCGGCGCCAAGTTAAATTCTACCAAATTAAAAGGTAAAACACAAGTGGTACCTTTAATCTTTAAGAACCCATATAGTACTATTATTTAAATTCCACTAAATTAAAAAGTAAAACCTAAATGGAATTATCTTTATCTTCATACAATGAAACCTAAGTATATGCCTTTGTATTCTTATTAAAAGATCATCCTATTCGAAACCAAGTGATTTAATTTTTCTTTAAAAAAGTTATATCACAATTAATTTTTAAAAACAAAATGAAAAAGTTTATTTAAATAGAAAAATTTTTTATGTAAAAACACTTCGCGCTGCTAGAGCGAATAAGAAAGACAATGAAAACTATCTAAAAGCTATAATAATTAATGCAAATATATGTAAGGGTAATGATAATTTAAATATTATAGTAAACATATTCTAATTGCTACATTTAATAAATACAGCTTACTTTTCTCTTTTTATGTATTTCACTCGCATATACTGTACGCGAATATACATACAGACTGCATACTTTAACTCTCGTAGTTTCTAATCTCTTTTATACAAAATGTTACATCCATATATAATTTTATTATGACGTTATTATATTGGGATTGAGATACAATTCACTCGCACATACATATACACGAATATATACACACTAAATACTTTAATTCTCGTGAAAATGTTTCTTATCTTTATTATTGTATTTTAGTACTCGAGATCGAGAACTAGCAGCGCGAAATGTTGTTACATAAAAAATTTTTCTATTTAAATAAACTTTTTCATTTTGTTTTTAAAAATAAATTGTGATATAATTTTTTTAAAGAAGAATTAAATCACTTGGTTTCGAATAGGAAGATCTTTTAATAAGAATACAAAGGCATATACTTAGGTTTCATTGTATGAAGATAAAGATAATTCCATTTAGGTTTTACTTTTTAATTTAGTGGAATTTAAATAATAGTACTATATGGGTTCTTAAAGATTAAAGGTACCACTTGTGTTTTACCTTTTAATTTGGTAGAATTTAACTTGGCGCCGACTATTGATATCAAATCTTTTATACAAATGATACATGTCATTAGAATTAAATAAGGATTAAGTAAATAAGGATAATATCACGTAGGTTTTTAAAGATGGTTCTACTAAACAGCAAATGTGATTGGTCAGTTTCACAGTCGATTAAGTAATTGACGTTGGTGAAACTGGCCCAAATGGTTTTTTGACCAGCAACACCCACTCTTAGCGCTTTTTTCTACCTTTTTTTAAAAAGGTAAGTTTATATATACTTACAAATGATACATGTCATTAGAATTAAATAAGTGTAAGGATGGTACCACTTAGATCTTTAGAGATGGAATTTTTAAAGACTAGTTAATTAAACGATATATTTTAAGGGAAAAATCCATATTATATGACAAGATAGTGAAATAAAATAAGGGAGGATGTGCAATGTTAGAATTTAACTTTGCGTACAATGACACGTGTCATTAGATTTAAGAAAATAATAGGATAAAAAAAACAATAGTTCCCTTCTCTTCTTCTTCAATAATACCCAACAGTTCCGAACTTTCTGATTTGACTAAATCTAACTGGAACATGTACTTGAATACCTCATTATGTATGCCAATGTTTTTTATATAGATATTGATTTCTATTTCATTATCTTTCAGTAATAAAATGTATTACGTTAAAATAGACAATTTGGTATAAGAATTCTATTAAAATTGATATTGATCTTTTGTGATTTATTTTTGAAATATAAAAAATTATTATTTTGATCTCTTACCTAGAACATTATATCTGATTCAAGATTGTGGATCACATAAGAATTCTTTTTAAATTAATACTCATCATTTGTGATTCATTTTTGAAATATAAAAAAGCTGTTATTTCGATCTCTCACCTAGAACACTATTGGGATCTGACATAGAGGCGTGGCTTAATCCAATATGGCGGCTGCAAGGCAGATAGCTTAGCCGGTTAAGGTTATATTTCGCTTTTAAGAAAATGTTTAGTATCAATGAAATATGCGAATGGGCAGGTACAAACCCATCTCAGAGAAATTTTCGCGAGGGGGAAAATATTTTAAGAGCCGGACACTTGATTTCGTGCGGGAAACATGAAAATCAAACGTGTGAAAGTGAATCGGTGAAGTTGACAGCTTACTGTTTACAAACGTCGCAACTAAGAGCATCTCCACATGAAATTACTGCAGAAATTTCAGAAGCTGGAAAAATAATTTCTATTTCGTGCTCATGCAAAGCTGGTCTAGGAGAAAAGTGTAAACACGTTTTAGCTACATTATTGTATTGTCACAGGTAAGATCCTAACCTCCGTTTGCACAATTTTTTGGTCTGGATTGTTTGTTTTCATTTCTTTTGTAAACATGGAATGCATGTGTATGGAATTGTTATGGTTTGATTTTAGGATTAATATTAATGATTTAGAGGTTTTATCTAGTACTGATAGGAAGTGCATGTGGAAAAATAAACATAAAGATTCCCTTAGCAAATATCAACCGCTTCCCTTGGAACAACACACATGCTTTGGCAAAACTGAGAACAATATCGTTATAACTGAAGATTTAAACACAATTATAACAAAATTATTAACCGATCGAATTCCTAAGTCTGCATTTGCAAAACATATGTGATTATTATTTTCTTTATACTAATACATTTTAGAGCTTGTCACTTTGCACAGCTAAACTGTTGTTGTTTGGATTAAAAGTTAACTTTTTGATCACTTAATATTCTTCGCTTCTTATTTCAAGACATTTTATTATACTTTTAATATACAGAGTTGGAAGACATGCACCAGTCTTAGTTGAATCGAACAACAATGCATTGTCAGAAATAGACGAAGAAATTATATATCAAATATTTGCTAATCAAGATTCAGAATTAATGAATATTATAAAAAATGTGAAAATTGAACCATTGAATGAATGCTGCGAAAGCAAATTAAAAACACTAGATGGTGATTTTATATTAATATGTAAAGAAAGCAAAATCAATTATTTATTATGGCAGAAAGAAAGGCAGTTTCGTGTGACAGGTTCAAGATGTTATGAATTATATACATACACACGTAACAAAAATCCAAATTGGAAAAAGAAGTGCCATGATTATTTTTATCCAGTAAATTTTAAAAGTGAGTTCACAGAATACGGGAGAAAGACTGAGTCTAGTGCAAGAAATGCATTTTCAGAAGCATACACCAAAGTTATTGAGATTGGACTTGTTATCTCAAAACAAAACCCTTGGCTAGCATACTCACCTGATGGAATAATTGTTAATGATGATAAGTCTATGGAGTTGCTTGAAATAAAGTGTCCGTACAAGGGTAAATCAATGAATGGTAAATCTTCGGAATAGGGGGAAGAGCTCCGATCTTCTTGACCTTGACATATGTTGTCAAGGTCATGACCCTGAGTAACTTTGCCTTAACAACTAGCCGTCGCTCGCTCTTCGTTAAAAAGATATTAACAAAAAAAGTTTCAAAAATAACGTCCTATTTCTGCTATATATACAGTATTAAATACTATTCTACATAGGTTTTGACCTTCCACGCGAAGTAACTTTTACCCCTCCCTCCTCCTGCACAGGGGTACACGACTTCTACGATTGTACTGTTGCTATGATAGTACTATCGGGGCAGACCTCTGACGACGGTGTGGGTGCGGGGGGGTGGCCGGAGGCCGAAGGCCGAAGGCCGCCCCCTTGCACCCGCCCGTTTGTGTGTGTGTGTTTGTGTGTAAAACATCAAGTAATAGACTCATAATGGTTATATAACGAGTGGAATACACACACACACACACACACACACGGGCGGGTGCAAGGGGGCGGCCTTCGGCCTTCGGCCTCCGGCCACCCCCCCGCACCCACACCGTCGTCAGAGGTCTGCTCCGACAATACTATCATAGCAACAGTACAATCGTAGAAGTCGTGTGCCCCTGGGATTTACGTGCTAATATTCCACGTTTTGGTACAAGAGAGTACAATTATGAACATTACATAGCTGAATTTTTGTTCAAAAGACTGTATACTTTTGACAAACGTATTGAACGATTTTTTGAAATAATGAGTAATTTGTATCCGTTAGAATCGTAACATAATTCTCCATAGATATTCAACGTTTATTTAACATTATTGTCATTTAGTAATGTTTTTTTTATTATATACAGCAGTATAATGGTACGTTATTTTTTGAAACTTTTTTTGTTAATATCTTTTTAACGAAGGGCGAGCGACGGCTAGTTGTTAAGGCAAAGTTACTCAGGGTCATGACCTTGACAACATATGTCAAGGTCAAGAAGATCGGAGCTGTTTCCCCTATTCCGAAGATTTACCCAATGAATATTAATGATGCAATAATGTATGAATTTAAAAGTTGCTTAATTATAGAAGGACTACAGGTAAGGTTAAAAGAAAAGCATAAATATTATGCGCAAGTACAAATGGGAATGGCTGTATTAAATTTGAAAAATACTAAATTTGTGATCTACGCATCTTATGATAAAAGTATTATAATCATAAATGTACCTTTTAATAAAAGTTTTGTGATAAGCATGTTGAAATCTTTAAAAGAAACCTATTACAATATTATGTTACACGAGATATGTAAAAATGAAAATGCACAAATATAATTTAGTAAAAATGTGATGAAAAGTTCTGTTTATATTATATTTATTGATCAATAAAAAAATTAATATAATAGTATATATGTAGAATTTTTAATGTACACAATTATACTTGTATGAATGTAACATCTTTTAAAATAGGTGAGTTCAAATTAAATGTAGCGCAGATCACTGTGAAAATTTCTTCCAATAATGGAACAAGATTGACCGGCAGTCTACTACCAACAATTTGAAAAGCTTTGATTCGTTGATTTGATCTCTCGATGTGAACTCTTGCACATGCTATTTTAGAAGTAAGAATTGCTTCCGACTTTGTGAATTGCTTCTTATTTTTTAAAAATGGAGGTCTTATGCATTTCCATCCATTAATTTGGCACATATCATCAATAAGAAATCCACGGTCGACCATTACTGCATTACCTGGTTGTAATAAATTCTTCAGATTACTTTGTTCAAAAATAGCTTTGTCCGATGCTCTACCGCCATATGGCTTGCTGATGAAAGAAATGTTTCCAGCTGGTGTAACACCTGTCAAAAATTTACAAGTATATGTGCCCTTGTAATGAGAGTAAGTATTAAGCTGACAACAGAGATTTTTTGATTTTTGTACGAAAATGTCTGTACAGTCCAAGACGACTCGTACATCTTTGAAATCTTCAAAACATTGTGGTAAATTTCTTGAAATTTCTTCTTCTGATGGCCAAGGAATAGCTACTATTAAATATTTGCTTAATATATGTATCATGTCTGTAAAAATTCTTTGACATTGTTTTGCTGTGCAGCAATTAAACATAATTGATAAACTTGCATATGACATATTTTGTTTTAATTTGACATATGTCATAAGAACTTTGTCTTGCACGCTTAATTTGGCCTTAGAATCTTCAGGTTTTACAAGTTTTACCAAATCTACTATTGTATTAAAAATATTGAAGGATTCGATACCTGTGAATGTGCTTAATTCACTATCACTTTTTAAAAATTGAATAAATTTAGGCAGTAGATCTCCACTTTGTACTTGCACACCAACATCTTGAAACGAACGACAGTAATTTTGATCTTGGCTCATCTCTTCGACATTTTCATCATATTCTAGATTGTTAGCATGTATTCCTTTTTCTTCTTGATCATTTTCTTTCTCTTCTTGCTTTTTCTTTTCTGAATTTTTATTGACATCTCTCCTTTGTCTTCTTTTTAGCCGATCCTCATCAAGTTGAAGATTCACTTCACTTACTACGGAATTGGTAGGTAAATTACAGGATGGAACAGCATTTTTTGCAAGTACCTCTTCTCTGAATGAACATCTGTAAGAAATAATACATATGAAAAACTAGCATGTATGTATACCTAGATTTTGAATCTAATAAATAATAAAGAAGACTCGTCCGAATAAATCGAATATAATAAAGTACAATGTAAACAATAAAGAGCTGGCTGTACACACACACATACATACTGCTTACTTTGCACTTTATTATATACATACATAGATTGTGTCAATCATGAAAAATTTTAACCTATACTTACTTGGAAAAAGGTAATCATCTTTTCTAAAATGCAGTGAACACACTCTCATGGATGTTGAAACTTTTTTTCCAATTTTTAAAGCTCTGCTCCATGCCTGTAATTTATCTACTTTTTCTGTATTTCCAAATTTATTGACAACATTAACGAAACAACATTCGTTAGGTTTTGGAAATAAATGAAACCGTAAATCTAAATCTTTAAACGATATGCTGGAACAATTGTACACCGAGCAATATGTTCTCGATTTATTTTCCTTACGAGGAGAAAATCTGCCAACTTCCATTATTAACTTTCTTTCAATATTATACTTACGATGCGAACCGTACGAAAGAGCAGTCTGCCTTGCTGTAGTACGATTTTCTACCACCAGATGTCATGGTGCTATATGTCAGATCCCAATATTTGATTCAAGATTTTGAAGCACATGTATGTGAGTTACAGTTTTCAATCACGTGTATCTTCATAAAGTATACATTTTCAAAATATTACTCTAATTCATAATTAATTTTGTGAGGAACGATTGTTCTGTTAATCAATTTCGTAATAACATTATACCACAACACTTATTACGTTTATTAGTGTATTTGATTATGTATATGTAAAAGATTTTGACATTGGAATTAATAAATATTCACTTCCATTGCATTATCTTTTAATAACAGGATGTACTATGTTAAAATATTTTAGAGAACGTCAATGTAGATATACTGGAAAAGCACCGTTCGGATACTATCACCAAGAAAGAGAAATCATAATAAAGTTCTTAATACTGAACATTAGAAAGAAACATACAATGACGTAACATTATAACAAAACACTTATTACGTTTATTAGTGTATTTATTCCAATGTCAAAATATTACATACGTATAATCAAATATGCTAATAAACGTAATAATTTTTTTTGTATAATCAGAACAATCCTTATCACGATATTAATTATTAATTAGAATAATAATTTGTAAACGTATACTTATGAAGATATACGTGATTGAAAACTAGTTAACTTACACTCTAAAATCTTGAACTAGGTGAGAGATCAAACCATAGCAGTTTTTTATATTTAAAAAATAAATCACAAAGATCAGTATTAATTTTAAAAGAATTCTTATGCCAAATTGTCTATTTTAACGTAATACATTTTATTATTGAAAGATAATGAAATACCATGAAAAATGACACATATATTATTGAAGGTGCCAGTTGAAAGTAAACACACACCAACAGTTCCCAACTAAACGGCTAACTTGAATACCTAATTATGCATGCCATGGTTTTTTACCATTTTATTATCTTCCAATAATAAAATGTATTACGTTAAAGTAGACAATATGGTAAGAAAATTTAATAAGAATTCTTTTGAAATTAATACTAATCTTTTGTGATTCATTTTTGAAATGTAGAAAACTGTTATTTTAATCTCTCACATAGAATACTATATTTGATTCGAGATTTTGGAGTACATAAGAATTCTTTTGAAATTAATAATTATCTTTTTTGATTCATTTTTGAAATATAAGGAACTGTTATTTTGATCTCTCACCTAGAATACTATATTTGATTCAAGATATTGGAGTACATAAGAATTCTTTTGAAATTAATACTGATCTTTTATGATTCAGTTTTGAAATATAAAAAACTGTTATTTTGATCTCTCACCTGGAACACTGTATTCGATTCAAGATTTTGGAGCTCATATGTGTGTGTTAACCAGTTTTCTAACACGTGTATCTTCATGATTAGTCAATTCCGATTAAGTAATTGTGGTTGATGTAATTCTACTAAACATAAAGATAACATCACGTAGGTTTTTATAAAATATTAACCTTGGCATACATAATGAGGTATTCAAGTACATGTTCGAGTTAGTATTAGTCAAATCAGACGTAAAGTTGGAAACTGTTGGATGTTACTGAAGAAGAGAAGGGAGAGAGAATTCCGACGTTACTTTTATGCATACATATTACCATGAAAAATGACTCATATATTATTGAAGGCGCCATTTCAAAGTAAACATACATAAAGTGTATATTCTTTTGCAGCATATATACGTAATAATAATGATTTAACATTACTATTATAAACATCTAGTGTGCATGTGTTGTTTAGATCATTATTACGTATATATGCAACAAAAGGATATACATTTTATGAATGTTCACCTTTGAACTGGCACCTTCAATAATATATCAGTTTGTTTTCTAACGTCAAAATTGTCGGTTGCATTATATTACCTTCAGAATTTAATGTACTTTTATTTAGGGCAACATTATTGTCGACAAGCTTTGTATTAGTCACATCCAAGATTATAGCACTGACATCAAGAACTTTCAATGTACTCGGATCTTTCTATTATCTTTATATTATTATTGTTTTATGGTATTTCCTCCTTCCAATTGAATATCATTTTGATCAATTACTTTTAAATTGTGTACCTGCAAAATATATAAATAATTTAAATAGTTTAAATCATTTTTTTCAAAAATTACGTTTATTGGCGTATTTGATTATATGTAGATGTTACGTCCGGCGCTCATTTTTCGGCCCAATTTTCGCCCCTGAGATTTCTATCTCTTTCTCACCTGCTGTTATCGCGCCGTACGTTTTCGCGAGTACCAGCATTAACTCTAGGTAGCGCCGCACTTACGCGAGAGCACCACCTCCCGGGCGCCTCACGCCGATTAATAAATTAGTGATAAGTCATGGTTAATTAACGCCACGATACAATTTAAAGCACAATGATGCCGACCAGAGCCTCCTGCGCAAAGCTATGCCGCGCTATCATACTTAAATCGGCCTTTCCTGCCGAAATCATTAATTAATAGGCTGGCGTGACGAGAATACGAATTTACTGCGCATCGCGCGATACTCGCTGATCCGCGTTGACAGATAGGGCGAAAACCTATTTGGAAAAACTAAAGTCCGGTATGCGGTCTTATCCCGGCGCCTCCACGCTTGTTAACGAAAAACCGACTCGGTACAATGATTTCGATAAATATGAACTAAAAGCGTACTAAGTATCGAAGCGCTGCGCTCATCCAGTAAAGAGATATTAAATATTCACAAAAGTGATTTATGACCCATTTTTGGGGGAAATTCGGCGTTTCCACACGCCGCGGCCACCAAGCTGGTCCTATATAATCGAGCGAAACCGAGCGCTCTCGTTCATTGTTGTTCCATCTCGGATAGCTCTATAAGGTTAGTACAGTAAGTCTTTCGTGCGCGAATCTCTCGTTTTTATTTCCTATTATTGTACATAATCGTTCTAACACTTTGTATTATATTAAGATTCGTTCGTTCTATTTTCTCGTATAATATTAGCACGTGTTAAATCCATTCTAAATTCTAAGTTCGATAGTAAGTAAATTCCTCATTCTGAGCAAGAATTATAATATTACGCGCTTATTATTGCTCTGTCCGTCGTTCCAGCAGATTTGTTCGCGAGCATTCGAATTATTGCGACTAGATAATCATTAACGCTGATTCTTGCGGTGCGACTCAGTTGTTATTCCTATTTTTCTTTCCGAATTCAATTAGAATACACTAACGGCCAAATCGACGCGACTATTATTCTCTGCCCCTGTCTCCTTTTTGTTATCAGCAGAAATAAAAGCTATCTTTAAAAGTGAACAATGATGAACCATCGCCTTATTTTTTTTTATTATTTCCTTTTATTTCTTTCTGTTTGTGTCTTGTCTAAACGCGCGTAGTGTAAGTGCTATCAAGTGCGAACGATAATTCTCCTCCAGTGAGTAGCATTTTTCCCCTCAACGATTTGCAAGCAAACGGAGTTTGAGCGCTGCCACATACAGTTGCTCGATTCCGTGCCCCCTTTTTTTTTATGCTGCTCACTGGTCGTCGCGATCGACGTATCTGCCGAACCGTAAACGATAATCCGCACTACTCGCGCGTTCGTTAGCCGAAATTCCTCTCGACGACGGCACTCGCGTGAATTCTCGCGCTATTAACATTCCTCGCGACGTAAGAATCGCTTCGTTCTACTTTTTACTTTTAATTACATTATCTTCAATATAGTTCTCCCCCAGTGAGTAGCAATTCCCCTCAACGATTTGAAAGCAAGCGGAGTTTGAGCGCTGCCACATTCAGTAGCTCGATTCCGTGCCCTCTTTTTTTATTATTCGCTACTCGCTGGTCGCCGCGATTAGAAGTCGCGTATTCTTACTTTAGTTCTCGCGCTATGATTAAAACACACGAGTTACGAATTTCTCTTATCATCGGAATGAGAGACGACGTGCGTTTCCGCTCGGCCCACGGTCACTCTTCATCTCCCGATCGACTCCGTCGCTGAATTCATTACTCCATACGTTAAGATGATATTTCGAACCCCGGGAAAAGCTCGGACCCGATCTCAAATCTCGATCATTCGTGCCTACTATGCACACAACGATCCCACACGCCGCGTTCGGAACTTCGCGAATAACAAGCGCACGAAAACCCGGACGTAATAGTAGATAATAGATTTTTTTGGTATAATGTTATTACGAAATTGATTATCAGAACAATCCTTCTTTATGATAATAAT